AAATTCCAACCTCCTCTTCTTCCTCCAACTCTTCAAAAACTTGGATATCCTCACTTGCGCTCGATCGATCGCTTGCATCGCTGTTTGAATCATTGTTTGAAATGCTTTGCATGTCTGCCGTATGGAGCTCTGCCATCGCTGTTCTCCATGTGACGTAGCACTTCCGGGTTCCGCCCCTTTTGGGCTGGAACTTCGGAAAATCGATTATTTTGTCAAATATACAACATATAAATGATTTTTTCATGCTTTATTTTGGTGGACAATGTTTAAGTACTTTCATTGTGACCCTATTTGGCATTTCATGAAATTACTTCACACTTGGCCTTTAAGGACCTGATGTTAGTCAAACCTCACCTCATCTGCTACGAGGGAAAGCTCACTGGAGTCAACAGCATCGTAATCATAAAGGACTTTGGCCGTGCGAGTGCCTGTAGCAGGTGCTTGCACTTCCTCAATCTTCAGTGTCTCCATCTCCACAGCGCTGTTCAAGCCTTCTGACGTCAAGTCTGCAGAAGCCACGGAGCCGGTGGAATTCAGTGCAAAAGCATTTGGAAGTCTGGGGGAGAGCAGGGAAAATACGGCCTGATTGTTCAGTTCATTCAAAAGGGAAATCATGTAACGAGAGGGTATGGCCACATATCCCTTACAAAAGAAAAATATATTGCAATATATTGGAAGATATCATGCAATACATTAAATAATATATTGTCATATATGAGATTTTATATTTATATTTTCTAACATACTTCAATATATGCATAGACCAAGGATGCCCATTACGTCGATCCTGATCGACCGGTAGATCTCGGACTTGTCCCAATTAGATCCGAAAGGTGTAGAGGAGAAAAAAAACAACAAAACATTTGTGTGTCTTTGTACATGTTAGTAATATATTTTTTGTGTTAATGTACACTGCATGCCCTAATCATCCTATCAGTCTCATTTTCCCCAAAAAATATTTTAAAAATAAAATAAAATAAAGCAGGTAAATCTTTAACCTACGGTGGCGTGTGACCTACGTCAGCGGAAGTTGTTAGCGCTTAGCAGTCTGCAATTGTAGCTTGTGATCAGAGCTGTTGCGCTATATCTTTGATCGTCATTATTCTCATTCAGAGTTTGCGTCGTGTACAATTCACCGAGGGCATGGGCAAAGAATAGGAATCTAGAGGACTGAGTAAAGCATTTTAAAACGGTACGTGTGAGCTACGATAGTCAACACTAACAGGCTGCAAAAGTGCATCGCTTGCTTTCGTGT